TATAAATGATAGTTTGATCATTTAAAATATTATAATTTCACTGAAGCATCTAAAATTTATTTTGTTATTAATAAATTAATATAAATAATTAAATTATTCTTATTTTTTCATAAGTTTTGTTTAAAAAATTATAAATTACATGTTAAATTCCTAATATTATTAAAAGTATTGAAAAAACAAGTGCCAATCATAAATTTTGTTTAAAAAATCATAATTTTTTTAAAATCGCAAGAATGCAAAAATAAATCACAAGTTCACATTTTAAATTTTTGATATTGTTACAGTGATGGAAATAACAAATGCCAATTACAAGTTTTGTTTAAAGAATCATAACTTTTTTTTAAATCACAAAATACAACAATAAATCACAAGTTTACATTTTAAATTTTTGATATTGCTAAAGTGTTGGAAATAACAAGTGCCAATCACAAATTTTGTTTAAAAATTATAATTTTCTTTTTAAAATCACAAGAATACAACAACAAATCAAAGTTCACATGTCAAGGGCATTCTGATCATTTATATCAATTCATTATGATAAAAAAGTCTATGGAGACTTCAGTGAAATTATGACATTTCAAATAACCAATTGTTATTTATATAATTCAAAAAGATTTTATTATCATTTTCCCTTTCTTTTAAGTATGGATAAATTCTTCCTTCCATTTCAAAAATATAAACACTCAAATATATGTCAATAAAATTAAGTGAGATTTTTTATTAAATATTAAAAAATATTGGTCCAAACGTAAATCAATAAACATAATATTTAAACAAAACATTCGGGATTAAAAAAAGTTAATATTAGGATACAATTGGTATTATGTTTCATTTTCAGCTCCCTTATAAAATAAATTTTTAAATGGATTTATGTATTCAGTTTAGACTATAGACTTATGTAACAAGTCATGATTTTATTTTACTTTTATTAAGTTTTACTTTTGAAATTCTTGATGAGCTTTTTTTTCCTTAATTAAATACAAGTTTTTGGTGAAATTGTTTTCACTGAAAGAAATGCATTCATAATCCAAACAGATTACAATGAGTTTGTAGGTCTAACCTAATTGCTTTCATCATCTTTGTCCTTTTGAGAAAGAGATGAAGGATGATTAAAGGTATAAAAGTTACATTTAAATTATGAAAAAAAAATTGTCTAAAACATTAGTGTAAGAATTAGCCTCTATATCAACATGGGTGAATAAGCACACTCCAATCTCTGATTAAGAAGGTGTGTTTCATTTGAAAGATTCTTGAAGGGCTGTGACTCATCAGAACCTTTAGTGATCAACAAAATAGTTTCAATGCAATTGCAAAAAATATCCCTTGTGTGCAAAACCTTGTCCAACATAGGTTAAGGCTCTGAATAATGGCAATAACTTTGCAATGACATGAGGGACATTGACAATCTTACAATTGAATCTCGTATCCCAATTCCCATAGCTATCCCAAATGGCCTCACCACAACCATCACTCCCATTACTCAATATAGAGCCATCCACATCAAGATGAAAAGCTTCAAATATGCTCCTAGAGTTGACATACAAACTTGTGTTCTTGTATGAAAGAGAGGGAGCAAGATAATGAAGATCTAAATCCAAGCAAGCTCTAAGAAAGCTAAAACACTCATTATGATGATCATGATTACTATCAATATTAAGGGCTTTCTTACATCTATCCACCTAATGTCCCAACAAACAACCCATTTCATCTTCTTCATATACCACTTACTGCTTCGTGTTTCAAGTTCTACTTTATCCAATCCAGACTAACCAAGGTAGTAAAAGTATTCCAACATTCCCCTTTGACTACCACTCTCTACCTATTTCACGCATTTGAACAATCTCAGATGAGGTGCATTGAATCTTCAATTGCCTCACAATTAAAGGGACAAGTCGTCTTAGTCATCAATCCTCTCTTCTTTCTCAACTCATAAGTATGCTCTCTCTCATGAGTAAACAGCAACATAAATGATTTTTTTTTCTTTTTTTTTGGATGAGCCACTTCCACGCCATCTTCCAGATACTATCTGCTCTCCTACTTGCACCTGCAAATAAAAAGAAATAGACAAATTTTAACAGTAAAAATTTCATCAGTGGATGGTTTTCAAAAGTGTTTATCTTCTCTTATCTCTTCTAGGTAGATAGGCATGGGTTAGATAAGAGACAATATTATGTTGAAGCCAAGAACTAGGTTTCTTAAACATCCAATTGCCCCCATTGTAAGAGTATGACCAATCTCAAATAAAATTAGAAAATTTAAAGGTTATATATGACAAAAAATATGGTTGACAATATTTAACCATATTATTATTATAAATATCAAATTTATAGTCATTTGTATCAACATTTTAATAAAATTATCAAAATCATTAAGTTTGCGACAATAATTGTCTCATCAAACCAACATAAGCTTTCATTATTAACTAAAATCATTTGTAAATTGTCACACACAAATATATAACAATAAATAAAAACCAACCATAATATAAATAAAAATACAAAATAACATAATTTTAGGTTATAATTTTTTTAAAAATGAAAACCAGTTCTTGACCAATTTCCACTAGTTTTCACCTATTCTTGACCAATTCACATTTTTCCGGTTTTAGGGGGTTGACCAGACCGAACAATAGGTCGGATTGGTTGGATTGGCTGATTCGATCCTCTTTTGACAACTTGGCATTGATAGAAAAATTATAAATTATTTATTAATAAGATAATGATATTAATTAATAATGAAATTTAAATATGTTTTTATGAAATATAAGATTGATTCTCATCAACTTGATCAACTTATAATGGTTGATTGACACAAGAAAATACAATATACACGTGAGCTTTAACCAAGAGTCATGGGTAGAGACAAATTGCATAACTATCCCTAGTTGCTTATAGAAAGACCTTAATATTAATTATTGCCACATTTTTACACTATTGATTATAACATCAATCTTTATGGAAATAAATTATTCAATTAAACATCGCCTCAATTTTGAATACAGTCAACATTTTATCATATATGAGGTTTCGTTTTCTTATTTCTTGGCTGAGGAGGAGAAAACAAGAAGGAAAAATAGTTATTAATTTTAGATAGACAATAATAACTTGGTCATTTGTAAAAATATTTATATATAATCAAATTTAATATTTTAACATATTATATGTATAATAATTTCTATAATATATTATTGATTGAATAAAACATAATTACAAATTATTTTACCCAATACTGACCAAAAACTATTTTATCTAATTTATAATTTTATTTATTAAATTAGTAAATGTATACTAATCTTAAAATTTTGAAACTACAACCAAAAATACTATTTTCCTCTCACTTTTCTCTCTCTCCCTCACTTCTCTCTTCTACTAAGCATAGCATTAGTGTTTTGTCCATCCAAATGCTTATAACATATTTAGTCGAGAAAAGTTTGAAGATTAATTTTTGTTGTTGAAGGAGGATACACTTGGTCTTATCTAAAAAATAAAATAAATAAGTAGTTTTTTTAAGTTGTTATTTTTGCTTAAATGTATTTTTTAAAAAATTCTTAGGTAGGTAAGAACATTTTATTAGAATAATGTCGTCCTTTAATTTATTCATTAAAATAACTTATCCCCTCATTTAATTAATTCAGATAAATATTATTAATTTAGTTAACATGAAAATGACTAAATTGGTTAAGCAAATAATTAAGCGAAATGACATTACTCTAATCAAAACAAGGGAAAAAAACCTATTATTGTTACTAAAAATAATATTTCCATTAAGTCATTTTTTGGTCAAATTGTGCATATCTCTAAAGACTGATTCATACTTTGAGACAACTCTAATTTTTTAATAAAAATTTGCAAAATTAAATCCCAAAAACATGAAATAGCACACTTCACTTCAGATTATGTGTCAGTATTTATCGTTGAATCATTGCAAATTAAGGTGCAAGGTTACTGTTAAGATTCTCAATATTTAAAATCATTTTAGTCATAATTATAATTAGAGTTTTCTCGACCAGAATTATAACTAGAATTTGACCAATACGATGAAGTTGTTGTAACAGATATTTTATCAAACTATTTTTACATTTAAAAAAATAAATCCACATGATTTTGTAAATAATAAATCAATATGTCTTTGTAAAATATAAATTTTTGAATTTGGTGTAACTGAAAATGAGACAAAATAATTGACAGTTATTTTTATCCAAAAAAAAAAGAACTGACTGTTATTTAGACAAAAAAACACCCCAACCTATGTTATCTAAAAAACTATTTTTGATGTTAATAATATAAATTTGAATTATTACTATTAAATTTTTTAAAAATTATTGATCATTAATTAGTTTATCTGATCATATATACATTATTCTTAAGAAACAAATATGAGCCCATTCCAAATTTAATTAAAAAAACATGTTCAATTTTTAATTTAATATATGTTAATACAAACACACACACTCACTAAATTACTACCCCTTTAATTCTATTTATAAGTCATTTCTAACATATTTCATCAAAATCAAAGAACACTTTGAAATTCATTAGCTTTATCTTAAAATTTAATAAATTTTTAATTTTATTTTTATTAAATATATAATTTTAAATATTATATTTTTTATTTTTAATATTTAATAGAGGGTATAAAAATTTAATAAGATGATTTATAAATGAAATAAAAAATATTTTTTCTTTTAACTTTGTAAATAAGATAAGAGGGTGTAATATATACCAAAGCGTTGAAATGTCAGTGGCGCCGTTGCATTGCGTAACACTTTTGTTAATCGATTAATTATGATTTAATTAATTTTCAAAGTTTGAATCGAATCCAATTGACGTCGTAATAAGACAGATGAAAATGAGACATAAATAAATAAACATCGATTTCAATTTTTTACTTTTTATTTTATTTTTTGCTGCATTTGATCTGAATGGATGAAGACGAGGCAAAGCCTCGCTTCATTATATTCCTCCTTTCACAACGGTATAAGCATAATGTAACCCTCAGAACTACACACGCATTCTAGTCGCTTTCACATGGCTTGCAGGATTTGGGGCCCACAACCCGTGTTTTTCTTCTACTTGAGGCCCGAATTTTAGCTTCAGCAACACAGGCGTACGTACTGTCGAAACAGAGTCATAGGAAGGAATAGAGTTTCATTTATGTGCGATTGGAAAATTGAATTCGGGGACTTCGTTGAATTATTCAATTATTTGATAGCTATTTATTTCATGGTTTGAAGCTTGATCGCATCGCGTCTTTTGTCGAGTCAATTCGTTGTTGCAGTCACATGCTTCGATTGAGAATTTTGGAAGTCGATGCTTTGTGGTATCCGCATGCTTGGACATTGCTGTGATTGGCTTAGAGTATATACGGATTGAAGTTGATAGACTTTTCAGTTTAATTTGAGCTTCCTTGATTGTTCTTTATGGTGATCGATTTTGATTCCAAGGTGATCTTTTTGTTTTTTCCCCCGTGTTTTGCTTCAACGGGTCTTGTGATCTGGGTTTCGGTCTGAAGCGGAGTTCCGCGAAACTGAAACGTTTGGGTTTCTGTGAAATTTGATATAGCTTGTTGTAAGAGTTCAGACATTGGTTTCGGTTGGTAGAGTTTGGTACTAGCAGCTTTCATCTTCACCTGAAGTTTTCTACTTAGGTTTAGGCGTTTAGCTTGAGGCCTAAATTTTGCACTCGAGTTTGATTTTTGAAATTCTCAACTCTGGTATGATATGTGAGAGTGACGTCAGAGTTTCCAGAAAGAACGCCATTGTTGAGTATTGTTATTGCTACGATGTCGGTGGCGTCACCAGCTCCTGCGGCCGCCACAGGCCCACCATCACCACCAACACCCTCCACCAACAGTAGTGCAGTGCCGCCCCCCACCGCTCCGCCACCACAATCCTCTTCACCGGCACCACCAGGCAATCCCACTTCGCCGCCGCCTTCGGCACCTCCGCCATCTTCAACCCCTCCCACACAGTCTCCACCTCCGGTGACTCCGTCAGCACCTCCTCCTGTTGTGCCATCGCCTCCGCCGGCACAGTCACCGCCACCTCAGGCATCACCACCCCCTTCATCTGTCACTACACCCCCATTGTCACCTTCTTCAGCTCCTCCTCCTCCTCCACAATCAGTTGCACCTGCGTTACAACCACCACCTCCGCCTAATGCTACCCCGCCTACTTTTCCTGTACTTTCACCTCCACCACCACAAGCACAGGCTCCACCGCCATCTAATTCATCCCAACGACCGCAATCACCTCCTCCAGCAAATTCATCCCAACCACCGCCATCTAACCCATCTCCGGTGCCTTCGCCGCCTACACCATCGGCAAACCCGCCAAGAAACTCACCTCCACCTCGTACACCATCGTCAAACCCTCCCCAAAACTCCCCTCCGCCGCCTTCACCATCGTCAAAACCTCCAGCAAACTCACCACCACCGACATCAAGCCCCCCGCGAAATTCAACTTCACCGCCATCATCTGTGCCACCCCGAGGGACATCTCCATCACCAGCATCAGCACCGCCTGTAAATTCACCTACCCCGGCGGCTAGCCCACCTAGTTCTCAATCAAGTCCATCTCCCTCAAAGTCTACCCCAAATTCATCTCCGCCGCCCCCCATAATTCGAATGGCTCCACCTCCGTCCTCACTTTTGTCACCACCGACTTCTCAAAATTCCTCCCCGCCATCAGAAAGTGGAACAGAGAGTTCAAACGCCAGTCCAAGTGGTGGCAATACTGGTGTTGCAGTGGCTATTGGTGTAGCGGGGGGAATTATAGTGATAACCTTAATTGGAATTCTTATCTGGTACCTGATAAGGAGGCGAAAGAAACGGGGGCCTGAGAGTGGTGGTTATATCATGCCATCCACTTCTGGCTCACTACCCGAGTCAGGTAAACTTGTAAACTTTAAGATCATTATTTCTTTAATATGCTTTCTTGGTGGCTCCTACCATCCTTTCTTTATCTGGTCTTTCTTGATTTGGTAGTTAGGTGATATGGAAATATAATACGAACAGCCCCTCAATAATTGTTCTGTTTTATCATATACTTGAATTGTGAGGCAAGCATCTAAAATAAAGTCTTTTCAGGCTTTAAAACCATTCAATTAACTCAATGCTATAACGTTGTCCAGATTCGTCGTTTTTTAAGACACATTCTTCAGCTCCTTTTGTACAAAGTGGTTCTGGTAGTGACACTGTGTACTCACCATCTGAGCCGGGGGGACTAGGCAACTCGAGGGCATGGTTTACGTATGAAGAACTAGTCAAAGCTACAAATGGTTTTGCGCCTCAAAATCTTTTGGGTGAGGGTGGATTTGGTTCTGTATATAAAGGATGCCTACCTGACGGGAGAGAGGTAGCAGTCAAAGCGCTAAAAATTGGTGGAGGACAGGGTGAGAGGGAATTCAAAGCTGAAGTGGAGATTATTAGTCGCATTCATCATCGCCATTTAGTCTCTTTGGTGGGATACTGCATTTTAGACAGCAGAAGGCTGCTCGTCTATGACTATGTCCCCAACAAAACCCTCTATCATCATCTTCATGGTAACACTACTGATGAGTTGTAAAGGCTGGCTCTAGATGTTATGATTAACTTTAACCTGTGTTAGTTGAAATTTGCAGGGGAAGGTATGCCAGTGGTGAGCTGGGAAAAACGTGTGAGAATTGCTGCTGGTGCAGCTCGAGGAATTGCTTATCTCCATGAAGATTGTAACACACCAATCCCTAGCTTAATATTATTTTTGATTCGCCTTCAACCCTTCATGCATGTACTCTTCCGAACTGTAATTGCCAATCAAGTATTTGGAATTCTCTGGTTGCATTTATTAAATCAGATACTTTGAAACCATTAAAAAATTGGGTGAATGGTCAATTAAGCATTTGACTGTGGTTTCTACCATATATGTAGTGGATAAGTTATATGTATTAGAAAACATAATTGAATTTGCAGTAATCAATGTATAAATCTAAACTTTCTACAGTGAATTATAGGGCAACAGATAGTAATATATCTTCTCTTGCAGTACCGGAAAAGGAAACTTATCTTATGAATAACCCATTAATCTTTTCTGGTCTGCTCATTGAAGCACAATATTAAGTCTATTATGATTTCTTTCTGATACATAAAAGGGAAAAAAAGGAGTGTGAGAGGGGCAACAAAATTATTTATGGAACTATGCGTGGACTCATTCAAACTGTATAAACCAAAGTGTAGTTTTTTGTCCTGCATCTTTGAGAAGACATTCTTTGTTCTTGACTAGAGCTAGCTACTTATGCTGTTGATTGTTATGCATATTTCAGGCAATCCTCGGATTATTCATAGGGATATCAAGTCCTCAAACATTCTTTTAGATTACAACTTTGATGCTCAAGTTTGTTCTACTCTTACTCTTTCAGAGTTTGATATTGTTTGTTTAGTTTCTATTTTGATCTTTTTTTTTTCCAAGGCCAAGTTTCTATTTTGATCCTACTCTTCCTACTTTTAATGTTCCAGGTCTCAGATTTCGGGCTAGCCAAATTAACCCTTGATGCAGATTCACACATAAGCACTCGTGTCATGGGAACATTTGGGTGAGTAATCTTTGATTGGTCTACCATCTTCACTTTCTGGGTTGCTTTTCATTTTGAGAGAGGGAGTGGGTCACTGAATTTTAACTGTTGCATTGATATTAGGTTTCTTGTTTGAAAACGCTATATTAATTATGCCAATTTTTTCCTCTTAAAGATATGTTGCACCTGAATATGCATCAAGTGGCAGATTGACTGAGAAGTCTGATGTATTTTCTTTTGGGGTTGTACTTCTGGAGCTCATTACTGGACGGAAGCCTGTAGATGCTTCTCAACCGATCGGGGATGAGAGCCTAGTTGAATGGGTAAACATAGATGCCAGTCTTGTTGTGATGTCTCTTACTACTGCTGCAATCTTTGCAACTCCTGTTTTTGGAAGCCGTTAATTTATACTTTTTGTAATTTTGCTCTCTTTTCTGAATCTCTTATTTTTATCACAATCAGTTTTGCATAGAAGGATGTAAAAATGTTCATGATTTTGTGAACCCATTCTTAGAACCATAGTTGCATAGTTCTTCAACTTTTGCCATATTTATTTAGCTGATGGGTTTGATTTGTGCATGACACACTATATATGTAAGGATACAACAACAACAAGCTTTATCTCACTAGGTGGATTATATATGCAAGGATCCTGAAATAAATAGCTCAAATAATTGTGGGCATTCCATGGAGGCAAAAAAAAAAAAAACAAAAACGAAAACAAAAAAAGAAAAAAAAAAAAGAAAAAGAAAGAAAGAATCTTTTCGTATTTATGGATTTTTGCTGCTATCTGTATAACTTTTTTTGTTGGCCTATTCTAAGGGAATGCCTTGAATTTCTGGCAGTGGATTTTGAACATTGTATAACTTCATTTATTTGGTATTGGAACACTTTTTTGTACTAGGCCTCAAAAGTATCTGAAAAAATCATATTGGCACACAAAGGAGGCTTTAGCTCTCTAAGGAGCAAAGTTCCTCATGCCATCCCATGTCATACTGTCATGGGAGCCAAAATCTTATGAAAAGCATGCACGCCATTTTTCCTTGCCTCACATTGTTTTTTTCATCTCTTGTCCATGTGTCATTATCATTGTGCTCTTAGATATCGTGTAGGATAATCTTTTACTTGGCTGTTGATTGTGCAAAATAGCAGTGCGATTCATGTATCTGACCCACCTAGTGGGACAAGGTTTTTGTTGTAATCTTTTACTTATTAGAAATAATATCCACATTTGCATTTTTATGATGATCAAATACTGATTTTTTTTTTTTTTTTGGATGCCAGTTCGAACTCGTGCATTGTAGTTAAAGAACACTCGAGTTAACCACAAAGACATGAAGTAACTGGCAATACTGAAATTGTTTGAAACAAGAAATTTTCTGCATGTTTATCTTGTTTTCTCATCAGAGTTTAATGTTTTGGTCTTAGCCTAGGGCTAGTATACATAGTTGGATCCATGTGAGACAGTTAAGGGTGCTTGATAATTCAACAAGATATTGTCATATTGTTCTTCATTCAAACCTTACGAGAAAGAAGGGAAAGGAGGGCAGTCACTATAAAACTTTGCTATTATTTTTTACTGGTGGAAGGAGGGAAATTGGCAGTTTGTACAAATAAATAAATTTTGCTTGCACGTCAGTTGAAGAGCTGGATGTGATTATTGCAACTACAAAGGCTTGGAAAAGTCAACTTCTTTACCTTGACAATGTTATCACTCAGCTTTTCCTGATCAATGATGGCACCATATTTTTCAGGCTCGACCTTTGCTGAGTCATGCAATTGAAAACAAGGACTTCGAAGGATTAACAGATCCTAAGCTTGAAAAGAACTATGTTGAAAGTGAGATGTTAAGCATGATTGAAATTGCTGCAACTTGTGTGCGACATTCGGCTGCCAAAAGACCTCGAATGGGACAGGTAATAAATTTCATTGATAGAAAATCTTTAAAACATTTCAACGAATATCAGCATAAATTCACAGTGAGTTTTATTAAAATGACATGAAAAGAGACACAAAATAACATCAGCGGATCATCTTTTTTTCCCACTTTGACCTGAAATGGTTCCTCTTTCTTAAAATGTTGTGTTTCTCAGGTTGTTAGAGCTTTTGATAGCTTAGTAAATTCAGATTTAAACAACGGGATGAGGCCAGGGGAAAGCGAGGCATTTAACTCTGCACAACAATCTGCAGAAATAAGAATGTTTCGGAGGATGGCATTTGGGAGTCAAGATTACAGCACAGACTTTTTTAGTCAGACAAGTTTGAATTCAACATAGAAGGCTATGTACATACTACAGAGTTTATTCATTTTGGACCAGTCTATCTTGTCAAGAAAAGCCAAGGTTAGACCCCCAGCTGAGTTATGTTTGTTGCAGTGGCTCAGGCTGATGTGCACCGATGCATTTGCTTCCCTGGAACTGACTGCATCAGGTTCAAAAACCTTGATTCTTGTGATATTCCATTCATTCCCCCATAGCATCAGCCGTTCTTCTGTAGCATTCTATTTTTATCTTTTGTAATTAAATTTTGTGCAAGGTGTTCCTGACACTCATGATAAGCTAATATAAGTATATATTTTTATATATATTAATTGATTTTTTTACATAAAATGAATGTGTTGCTCGTGGATACATTTTACTTTTTCTCAGAGGTTTTATATGAGAAGCGAGAACCAAGTTACTGCATTTTTTATTCATGATACCACGCTTGGATTTGGACTCGGCAACTATATTTAGTACAAGTACTTAGTGCTTGTATCATTTGAGCTGTTAAAATTCAAATCAATAGTTTTGAATTCATATTTCACTTGAGATTAATAAATAAGTGAATTGTTTTAAATAGTTGATCTGAATTTTAACAATTCAAATGGTACTACGTGTATTAAGTACAGTAATCGAATTCAAATTCACTACATTTTGAAAGAGGAGGGAGAGGACCTTGCAGTGACATTGGCATCGGTGCACCAACAATAACTAACAACTCACGTGTGTGTGTGTGTGTGTGTGTGTGTGTGTGTGTGTGTGTGTGTGTGTGTGTGTGTTGTCTTAGTTTTTTATTTTTTTAATTCTGAAAAAGGATATGAACAAACTGCTGGAGATAAAGTAAACAAAGTTATTTCTGGACAACCTGGACTAACAAAAGCGTAGGTACAGACTGCGTGTTGAAGGAAATCAAATCTGAGGTGACTTTTACTGTTAACATGTGTGTGCACAGGCAGAAATGTTGGTGCAAATCGGAACCTCACCCAGATCCTTGAGAGTCAGGATGATTAAACCCAGTTTAGAAAAGGGTGTTATATGATAAACTTGGTAAGTTTTAACTCGTGCCACTGTTTTATGTAGTTTTAAGGCAGTTTGGGTAGCAGATTGTGTAGCCTTTAATCCTGGATGAGCATACGAACATGAAGCAAGCTAAACTAAAAGGCATTTTGATTTGCTTGACTTTCTAATGATAACGGGTTTGGCTACAGAATTTGAGCATAGCCAATGGCCTGACTTCCTTCCTTCCACTTCTCATTCCCTGAACTTCATCTGTAATTGGATTCTCATTGTTTGGTCTTTTCTTCTGGAATTTAACTTTTTGATGCCCTGCTTCTTCTGTCTCTTAGCATTAATACTGACTGATGCCTTGCTTAGTTTAGTTAAGAACATTAGTTTTAATTGACACAGATGGTTCTTTTAAAGCTGTCTTGGGTTGATTTCTTAATTATTGATTTTAATTTTGGAATTAGGATATTGAATGAGTACTTATATTTACCATAGTTTCGAAACTACTTAGCTATCCATATATTGAATGAATCTAGCTTGTCTTTTCATGGAAAGCAATTCAGACCGTTTATTATCCTGAAAGTTTGAGCCACCAAAGTGAAATGGGTACGTTTCAACATACATAAAATGCTAATAATTTGTATCAGCAAGAAGGAAGGGTTCATGACAGAAGCTGAACTCATTAGGAGGAAACGTACCTACTATAATGAACTTTTTTTATTTTTTTAAAAGGAACAATTAATTATTCAGTTTCTATATTTATATTTTTAACTTGATTATAACTCAATTATAAACTTTAATTTGTATACCCAAGTCATTTTAATTTTAACTCAGTTGTAACTCAATTTTTAAATTTCATCTGATCCTTGTAATTTTAGCTATTTAGAACATTAGCTTCTAACTTTATTCTTTATACTTTTATTTTCTAAAATATAGGAGGTAGGTACTAACGCCTTAAATAAATAAAATTATAAAGATTAAATTATAATAGTTAAATTTTAAGAATTAAGTTTTAACTGAATCAAAATTATAGAAATTGAATTATATCGAATCAAAGCTCAATGATTGAATTTTAATTAAATTAAAACATCAGCAACAAGATTTATTATATTTACTCAACTGCACCTAGTGAACTTCGTTTTTATATTTACTCAAAAAGTGGTAGAAACCTCAAGAGTTCGAAGCCTTTAAGAATCCATTGGGCCTCATTATAAGGGATGTTTAGGTTTATTGGAACCCTTCACAAAAAGGGTTGGGTTAAAGTTGATCTTGATGGATCTGTAAATGAAAATGGTAAAGCCACGTGTGGCGGCCTCATTCGTTATTGCAATGTCAGTTGGGTCAACGGTTTGCTAAAAAAAGACTCAAAATTTAATTCTTGTGCCTTGGATTTCGGTTGGAATCTTGATGCAGAGAGCGAGTGAAGTCATGCCGTGTGGCGTGTAGCGGCTCTAACAAGTTGAAGCCCATTTCCTAGTAACATTCTAGCCACCAACCTTTAAAGAATTTATGTGAATTTGAACAAGACAAAGAAGCATCATCGCTCGCAAATTGGCCTGGTTCATTTGAATATGATTTTGGAGAGGCATATTAATGGAATCACTTTAAGGAAAATTAGGATTATCTTAGTATAATTAAGATTTAGATTATTTTAAAACAAATTACAATAATTTAACTGGGATTTTTTTTTTGCCACAGTTTAATTAGGATTGAGAAGAGGGCTTTACGCATGGCCCTAACGTCTCTTTAATAAAGATTCAATATTTAATCTCTCTTCCTTCCTCTTCTTTCTCTCTCTCCCCCGCTTCCCCTGTTTTAACATTATTTATAAAAATATAAATTATTAACATTTACTATTAAAATTTTATCTAAATAATACATCATGGGAGAGTTATATTGTTTAGGCTTAATAATAATAGGTAAAATCACTCTCAGTTTCACGCAATAAATTTAAATGCAAAAAAGTTTTGTAAAATCACAAAATTACTTTGTAGTGTGTTTGAATTAATGGGAATTTAGATTTGAATCAAATCCTGCATCTAGATAAACAAAATTTTATGGATTCATATACAAATTTATCTTTTATTGCATTTCATTTGTAATTTCAAATTTTTTCCTATACTCTAGTCATTTAAAATTTCAATTACTTCAAACATATTTTTTTTTGTTTTTAATATTAATGTCTCTATGATTCTTACATCTTTTCTTAATCTCTCATTGATGGAAAAATATATGCAAACTCATTACTCTCAATTTTTTGTTTTCATTTTGAATCCCAATTGATCTCTCTTCTTCATTTAATTTTTTTTAAATTATCCAAATAAATAATTTTGAATATATGAATTTTATGTAAAATTTGAAATATGAGATTTTAAATTTAAAATTTAAATTTAAATCAATGAATCTAAACATTACTTGTTTTTCATTGAAGTTATTAATTTACTATTTTAGAGTTGTCAATTATGATTGGATAGTTACTAGTAGAGTTGCTTTTGACAACTTAGCAAGTAATTACCAATCCAATAGTAATTAATGATTTTAGTAAAAAAATAAAACGACATTTTAAAATAATTTAATGATTTTATGAGACTTTTTTATTTAAATTTCTTGCGTGGCACTCAAGTGTAATTTGCTTGTAACAATACTTTGACTAAATAATATTGAATATTGGATATTATATTAAAAAAAATTGATCTAAATAACGAGAAAGTTTGGAGAGACATGTCTGTAACAAGTCATATAGCATAGCATCCACGAAACTACAAGTTGATTGAGTGATGTTTGCAGCTTATTTGAGTCACAAGCCACCGTTTGCTTTCACTGCACTGCCTTCAATCATTTGGAACTCAGCTATTCATCTTACTTTGCTTTTCCTCATTCGCTCTCGATTGCTTCGTCTCCTTCGTCACCTCCTCGCAAAACAAGGAACCTCCATGGATTGATTTCTTTATACTCTCATCACTCATGGCTTCTTCTTATTCCTCTTCCCCCTCCTCGGAATCGCCGCCTCGCTGTTGCAGCCATGGAGGATCTGAACACTCTCGCTGCTGATTGCGTCGTGATCTGCTGCTGCTGTCAGTGCCTGATCCTGCAGATCCTGGTCTTCGCTCTGCTCAGGCTTCCCGCCAAATTGGCGAAGAGAACCAGAGAATTTGCCAAGAGGAAGTTGAATCAAAGGAGAAGGACATCATCATCGAGGGAGATCGGTTCGTTTGGTGATGAGATGGTGAGAATTAAGGAGGAAGAGTACTGTGTTAGGGCTGAAGCAGAGAGAATAGAGAGGGGTTTTGGAGACGACGATGAAGATGAAGATGAAGATGAAGGAGGACGTGATTGTGAGAGGTGTATAGAGGAAGCAGAGGTGATGATGGAGTTATATGAGAAAGGAGAATTAGGGTTTGGGAGCTTCGGGGGGGGAGGAAGGCAAGGGGAAGTAGAGTCTTGTTGTTCAGTTCCCGCCATTAATGCGAGTACTGTGAGTCTGAATCAGATCGAGGATGAAGAAGATGGAGGTGATCATTTTGTAAAATACAAAATAATCCAAATGGCAGGTTCATTTCCCAACACATAAATCAGTATACTGTGCTTCTTTTTTAAAATAAAATTAACCGAAATAAGGTTATTGATTGATAGAAAACTTAGCCGGAAATCAATTGAATGAAATGAAATAGCTTAAATATTTTTTATGTACATTTATCAAAATACCCTTATTAAAAAAATTTCTCCTCGTGGTCATTGTGGTAAGGGCATTTTGGTAAAAGTAGTTCCAAACTTGTTTAGAATTAGGGAGAATGACAATTAAGGACCTGCTAAGAACATTAATTCTAATTACGGACCGTGAAATTTTGAAATTCGAGTTAAGGACATGGTCCTTAATTGTGATAAAAAAAATAAAATTTGTGAGGTGAGATTCATTATTGCCACTTGAGAATTCACTAACCCAATTTGAGAAAATTTATAACGTATATTGTGAAAACATGAAACCCCACTTGGAAATGGAATGTTTAAAAAAGTGCAACTTGGGAATTCACTAATTAGACTTGAAAAAATTTTTAATGTATATTGTGAAAACATGAAACTTCACTTGAGAATCGATTGTTTAATAAAAAACACTAATTTGGATAAGTCACTTTTTATTAATGATTCTCAAGTGGGGTTTCATTTTTTCACAATATACATTAGAAACTTTTCAAGTCTAGTTAGTGAATTCTCAATTGACACTTTTTGTTAAACATTCCATTTTCAAGTGGGGTTTCATGTTTTCACAATATACGTTAATAATTTTTTCAAGTTGGGTTAGTGAATTCTCAAGTCGCGTCAGTGAATCCCACCTCACAAATTTTATTTTTTTTATCACAATTAAGGACCATGGTCCTTAACTCGGATTTTAAAATTTCACGGTCCGTAATTGGGATTAATGTTCTTAACAAGTTTTTAATTGTCATTCTCCCTTAGAATTAAAATCCATGGAACTTGAAAGTTATTTTTGGATTTTGGATTTCATGAAATTTTTTAATTTGACATTACATTCTTTGTATGAGAACTCTTAGCAATTGTTTCAAAAATATAATATATTAGAGGGACTCTCAATTAGTGTTGCCATAGGTTTAGTAAATTATTGGGAGTGTTTATTTTCTTTTTTTTTTACCTAAATATTATTGGACAATATTTGAAATAAGCATGATTTATTACAATTTATGCTAATATATTCTAATTAGAGGTCTCAAATTTAAGCCCTAAATGTATAATAATGATTAAATTCTAAATAAGGGGTATGCTCTCCCTTTAAGGAAGTGCCTACAAGTTGCCAATTGAATTAGTTTATATCAAATACTTGAGATATTGAAAACAAAAAAACAAGAATTTGTACTAATAATACTAGATATAGATGCATACATGAATATTTATAAAAAAATCCAACCTCTCTTTAAATTTCATCAAAACTATACGTTTTAATCTGATTTCAAAATATGTAATCCGTTTGTTGACTGAAATATTTTTATGAAAAAAATACGTAGGAGTATTTGATTGAAGGTAATTTCATCAACGTAAAAAAAAGGTAATTTCATGAAAAAAATACTTAGAATTAAAAAATAATATAAATAAAACTCTTTAAGTTTTTGAAATAAAACTTATTTTTTTGTTTCATTTTTCATTTTTTTCTCTTTATAATAATGTTTTGTATAATATTTTTGTTAAAGAGTATAATAATTTATTTATCATAAAAAACTTACGGCCACGTAATGACTTGGGTTTGGGTTGACCAAATGCATCGTCAAGTAACAACACGTTAAGAGAAGTCCAAATTTCTGCCAAAAAGAGAAGTCCAGCGGAATCTAATCCCAACGGTTAATAAAAAATTAATTTTAACTTGAAAAAGATCTTTTATAATTTGCTATATCTTTTTTTGTAATTTTTTTTTTTTTCTGTCTTTTTTTAATGATCTGGTAATCAAAATTAATTTTTATTAATAATAGAAATTACATTACATCCTTATTAAAACTTAAAAGTAGAGGGGAAATAACAATTTAAAATCTTAAACACTTATTGACTTATAATTTAAAAGCTAAGTTATACTAAAATTTTTGTTTTGTTTTTTCTGTCTAACTTTTTTTTTTTAGAGCTTAAAAGAGCTGCATTTATAAACACAGTTATACTAAAATTGCTCAATTTTCAAGCCCAAACCTTAGTTTAAATGGAAGGCCTATCAAGCTTGACTCGTATTTGTAACTCTAAGCGAAACCATGTCAAGAGTAGTCATTTGCTTGCCAGAAATGGAGGGAATGAAATGAATTAAAAAATGAAAACAAAAACAAGTTAAATTATCAAATATCTTATAATAAGTATGATAAAACTCAATGTCATGTATTACAAATATGAAAATCACTACACTTATCATGAATCATAACTCTCAACTTCATAAAATAAATTACCCTTTCTTCTCGTAACATTGTAGACTTATCTTCACTCGACATCTTAATTATTTTATTTTTATCTTATTTCTTTAATATACTCTATTTATTGTTGATCAAAAAATACATATTCTATTTATTTTCAATATTCCAGCAAGGAAATGGCCTAGTTTTAACATTGTATCTAGAAAAGATAGCTAAGTTTAAATATTAAAAAAGAAATCATTGCCATGTATTTAAGGTAAATTCTTGCACATGTATTTGAAAGATATTAAAAGCTGACCTATCAATAGAAGCAGCCTACATACTACTACCTCCATCTTAATTTATAGGATACTTGTAAAGGAATTTTTTTATTTTAAAATATAAGATACTTTATGTAGATTAAGGTTTCATTAAATGTACTAATTCTAATATTACCCTTTCTCTCTCTATAATTAATTTTCATCCTTTTTCTTTTTAATATATTAAATCATGATATTTTTTAAAGTTTATATTTTTGTTTTAAAGGAATAACTTTGTTAAGTGTATTTAATTATGTTTATTGACATGTGAAATTTTATCTATAACTCTCTTATAATTTGAGACGAATTAAGTATTTTTTTTTCTGCATAATTTAGTTTACTCAAGTTTTCCAGTATCATGGCTATCGACTTTTTTTTCTTTGTGGGCTGTTTTCATGTCCTGAAACATTTATTGGATATGTTTTTCTGTATCATATTAGTATTGTAGTATGTCATCTCTTAAAAGTTCATCTAAACTGATATGGAGGATGTGAAATGTGGAACGAGCCTTCTTGCTCAACATCAGTTAATTGATTCTATATATTGTCATTAATTGTTTTGTACAGTCAAAATGTTTTTGATGTCTCTATTTGTGGCTTTAACTTTGCTTCTTTGTGCCATTATGCAATGCTTGAATTATTTAATAAGAGGGAAAGCATGAGTGAGTATTACTTTTGTTGTTTTGGTGATGTGATTTTAAGAATGAAAAATAATAATAAAATTTCTCTAAATTATATAAATGATAATCTGATTTTTTTTTAAATATCATAATTTCACTAAAGTTTTTAAAGATTTCTGTATCAATAAATTATAAATTAAAAAAATAATTTATCCTGATTGACAAGATATAATTTTTATTCAATTCTTGTAATTATTTGAATAAAAGTTATTATTCTTTAAATAAAAAATTATAATTGAGGTTTATTATTTTAAAAAATTATTTTTTAATAATAAAAATTACACTTGATAAGTTGTAATTTTTTATTCAACATTTTCTATTCACAGAATAAAAGTGTTATTTCTTAAATAAAAATTGTGATTGAGACTTATTATTTTGAGATAGAAATTATACTTGATAAGTTATGATTTTTTATTCAATTTTTATAATTTATATAACAAAAATTGTTATTTTTTAAATAAAACTCGTGATTGGGGCTTGCGATTTTCAATAAGGATAAAATGGTCTTTCATTTTAAAATTTTTTGACACAAAAATCCCTATAAACTTTAATAGAATTATAACATTTTAAAGAATTAGATTATTATTTACATAATTTAAAAGATTTTATTATCATTTTTTTTTAAGGTTGCTTTATTCCTTCAGAAATATATTACAGGGCTAAGTTTGTTAAAAAGCTGCTATTTTTTGTTTCTCTTCAAGACAAGTTAGCCTTCTCATTTGGTTGTGGTGTATATTTACTGGCTTTGGGCTATACATATCATTTTTAATTATATGTTGTGGTTGTTGTGTGTGAAAAGCTTTTGGTTTTTAATTACTGACTTTAATGAATCTATCTAAGACAATGGAGTTATATTGAGTATTTTAGTTTTTTCCATGTGGTATGAAACTCTTAAATCTTAATTATTTTTAAATATGAAAGTAATATTATGCTTTATTGTAACACCTGTAAACTATAGATTTCACATGCTATACATGGGGAATATATGTTTCAAAATTGGGTTGAGGGTCTACAATATCCCTCAATTAAGCAAAAAAGGTCAAGATTGCCCCTATCATCAACAAAGGATCATTTATATTTTTCAACGGCTAAGGTTTTCGATTCCATAACCATGTCATCTATTCTGTCAAATTTTACCATTGTTGGGGCTCACATTTGAATTTTTTTAATTTTTTAGTGGGTCCTACCATTTTTTTATGCGAGTTAAGGGTGTAAAATACTCCTCAACTAAGTGAAAAGGGTCAAGATCGTCCTTAGAGTTAAGAAAGAATTATTTATATCCTTCAAGCATTAAAATTTTTTATTCCATCATTCTATTGTCTATGTCATCGAATTTCACTTTTAGTGGGGCCCATATTTAAATTTTTTTTTATATTTTTAGTAAGTCCCACCATTTTTTTTATATTCTTAGTATATCTCCTAAGGGCTCTAGCCACACCTCCAAGCGTGTCTTTTTTCAAGCTTATAAAAATTTAAACTTCGTACTATAGCTCTCTGATGGCTCTAAGCTCAATTTTTCTACCATAATTCCTAACCTTATTCTTAAATTTGCCATTGCTAAATGGTGCTAGAACTCCATCAACTATTGCAAGAACATGCTTTAGTGCGCTATTCAACCTAACCATTCACAATAATAACAAGATTGCAATCGGCATGTTGGGAGCTCTAGCACTGCTATTCCACTTACTTCAATCCAAGAATGAGCAAACGAGAGAGGGAGTGAAAGGGGGGAGGAGAGAGGGGTATTTTTTTTAACATTATAAAAATATTAAAAAAATGATGGAACTAACTAAAAATGTTAAAAAATTTAAATGTAGGCCCTACTAGTAGTGAAAATTGAAAGAATAAGGGTAAGTTGATGGAATCAAAAATCTTAGTGGTTGAGAGATATAAATGATCATTTCATAACTTTAAGGGTGACTCTGATTCTTTTCGCTTAGTAGATAGGCATTTTAGACTCTTAACTTAAAAAAATATAATAAAAAATATTAAGTAGGTCTCACTATTATATTTTATTAATAAAAAATTGTTTAAAAAATTAATGTGGGCCCCTTAATAGATAATTAATGCCAGGGGCATGTAGGATGCAAAATTCTAAGATTGAAGGATAAAATTGACCTCAAGTTGAGTTTAAGGTCATTTATAAATTTTTGTATATAGTTCAAGGATATAAATAACCCTTAACCCTTCAAAATTTTGGGCCAAACATCTCCTAAAGTATGTTGCAAATTTTTTGTAAAAAAACATTTCTTAAAGATTAAAGCACCTTATGTATGAGTCTACATTAATCCATTAATGAAATGAAATTAAATACTTAATATTTAAAATATAGAATTGAAATTAAAAATTTTTTATATTCAACTACTGTTCTTATTCAGATTAAAAAAACTACTATTCTTATTATTTATTTAATAAATGCATAGGCAGCATTCTACTTATTAAAAAAAGCTAATTGACGTAATGCTTAATTCTTTATTATCTTCACTAATAAAGAATAGCATATCAAACAAATATAGATGTAATCACTCTGTCTCAAGTAGAAGAACTAGTCATTATATTGGAATTAGCAAAATCAAATATCACAAAATTCACTTATATAACTATTTCGTTTTGTTATAAAATATATTTTTGTGTTTCACATAAACATTGGGAAAATTGCATGATTTAATGTTAGTAATTTTTGTAATATCATTTCTAATTAAATTGATAATCACTTTTTTAATTTCCCTTTTTCTTCATATTTAAAGAATTAAAGAATTTTATTTTTATTTTATTTCTTTCATTTTCATTAGCCTTGTAAATGCAATGATATGATTAGATGTCTATAATGATATTTATTCCATCTTTTTATAACATTTATTTTTAAAAATATTTTGATTTTTAAGTATAATATAAGTGGGAAGTAAATGCATATCATTAAATAATAACATATTTGTACATCTCTCAAAAATATAAACTACATTATATTACAAGATATTACATTTCTTATTAGCTTTATATGTCTAGTTCACCACTTCAACATAACATTCACAAATTACACCAAATTCTCTCTCTCCCTCCCCCCCCCCTCCGGGTGCACGCATGAATTGTGATTATCTTGGAGAGGGAAATTGATAAATATAAAAAATAAAAGTCGCCACTAAAATTTTTAAAAAAATCTTAAAAAATTATAAACAAAAAAAGGATGGCCTACAAAGAAAAGTTTGAGAGTCAATTGTGTTTGAAAAAAATGTTAAATAGTTACTCTAAATTAATTGCATAAAATTAAATTGACTTTTTAATAATATTTTAATTACTCTTTATAATCACATGCAAAAAGAAAATAAAAATAAAAAATTAATGAAAATAAATTATTTATTCACATGGGAGAATTTACCTAAAATAAAAATTTAGGGCATATATACCTTATAATGAGAATCAAAATTTACATAATTTGAGTTATTATTATTTATTTAAATTTTTAAATTCTTTAAATTAATTTTTTTATGAAAAGGATGTCATTTCAAATTATATAATTATATTTATTTTTTAAATAAAAACCTATTCCAAGGAAGTACCTTTGGATAAGAGAAAAATAATTAATATTAAAACCTCCAGTAATTTAGTTTCACTCACATTTTATTAATTAATACTCTAAATACACATGGTAATTTGGTATCACTCATGGCAAACCTTGAAAAAAATTTCAAGTTGATTTTTTTAGAAAATAATTTAATTGTAAAATTTAACACAAGATTTGATACCTATAGTGACTTGGTATGATTCACAGCATTTCGGTTAATATTTCAAGGATCCATAGTAACTTAGTATCACTCATAACATAACCTAAAATGTACCAATAATTTTATTTTTACCTATAATGATTTAGTATCATTCATGATATCTTAATTAATATTTTTAGAAATTCACAGTGAATTAACATCATTCATAACATAACTTAATATATGTCAATAATTTTATTATTTTCTTAAAAAAACAATGCACGAATTGCTTTTTTTATTGGACAATTGTAGTGATTTGGTATCACTTACAATGTATTAAATATTCACAATAATTTAATATTACTCATGAACTTCTAAAATTATAAAGGACATGGTATTGAAACATAAAATGTTAAGCGGGTGTTGATTATAAAAAAGAATTGCATAGAATGAAACATCATAATATTCCTACAAGAACAATAAACCAATAAAATAGTACAAGTGCTCATAATGTGCCAAAGCATTCGCCATACATGGAAAGTGGTAGCCAAATCCAATGAAAATAAAATATGAAGCACAAGAAATATTTTATATTGGCAACACATGTAATTATTTTGAATAAGGGAAGCGAAAGAAATGAAGGAAGCCTGAAACATCAAATCAAGACCAAAGCATCTGGTGATCAAGTACACAGCTATTGTTACAACACTTGGTGAGGACAAGAATTCAAAAGCATGCAATCCTAACCTGAGGAAGCTTCTCTTTATTTTTGAACCAATCATGCCCACAAACCCAAGGAAATACGAAAGCAGTATTTAAAAAAAAAAAAAAAGGATCACTCACTTATCAAAACCTCACTAACATACTCCGGCGTGTCCTCCAGATTTTTTTTCCTTCAGAAGCTCCTCTTCTCTCCCTTTTATAGGCACAACTAGGATTTTCTTTCATCAATGATTGAATCAGATTATAATCCCATCATATTATAATATTTTATGGCCCTCATTTGACTTCCATTTTGAATTTATCAATCTCCATTATAAACATATCAAGACAATTAATTTCGAGATGTCAGAAAAAGGAAAATTCTCCTTTTAAAATTATTATATATACTTTCTATGATATAATCATAGAAAACATTTTATTATTCAATTCTCATTAAATAAATATATCTACTTAAATTAGTAAGTATCTAAAAATTCAACTTATAATTTATTTATATAAATATATATTATTTTAAGTATTTTAATTTTTCTGGATGTTCCATGGCATCATATGTATGGGTATGCGTGTGGTTGTCCCTGTGCTTGCGTGCGTGCATGAGACTAAACATTTGAAAGCTTTAACGGTGCTAACAACTATGGATGAAACACATGCAAATCAATTCCTATAATTTGATCAAATGGGATCATGACAAAATTGTAAATACCATTGAAAGTGAGAAACTTCTTGCCAAATATGTCGTACATTCTTAAAAAATACCTTTCATTTTTCATGGGAGGGAATAAGAGACAACAGCAATATGAAGCAACATTGAAAGGGCCTCTAGAGAGACGCAACTTGCGGAAGGATCCTCAAAAGGGCAATTCTCAGCCTGCACATTATTCACATCAAAGTAGTACTAACAATCAAACTGAGAATTATGATCTAATAAAAGTAAAAATTGTCATCCTCAACTGGAGGAAAAGGAGTGCTGATATGATATTGGTATCCAGCATCTTTCATATTATGGACTAGTTTGCTGATTATTTCATATATCTCCGCAATTTGGCCATGGCACTTATCCTTGGCTGTAAACTCATATCTTGTATTTCTTACTTCAATCCAACTACAACCTGCTTCTTTCTTTAAGCCTCTCTCTTCCATGATGCTTTTAATTCTGTTGGCATCATTCCATCTTCCTGATGCTGCATATATGTTTGACAACATAACATATCTAGCCGTGTTTTCAGGTTCCAACTTGAACAGAGCATCTGCAGCCCTCCTTGCGAGGTCTAAATTCTCATGGACTCGACAAGCACCCAATAGTGCTCCCCACATGGCAATGTGATCCATACCATCAGGTGTTCTCTCGATTAAATCCAATGCTTCCTTGAGCTTATTTTTCCTCCCAAGTAAATCAATCAATATAGCATAGTGATCAAGTCTAGGCTTCACGCCGTACTGCTTTTCCATCATGTCTAGCAACTCTAGTCCTTCATTATCTAAACCTGCATGGTTACAAGCAGATAGCAAACCAAGAAATGTCACATAATTAGGCTTTGCATTGGCTTTTATCATCCTTTTAAAGAGGGCCAGTGATTCCTCACCACGGCCATTCTGTGCAAACCCAGTTATTAATGTGTTCCAAGAGATTGTGTCCCTCATAGGAGTCATCCTGAACAAATTTTCAGCTGATTTCATGTCCCCGCACTTGCTGTACATGTCAATTAAAGCATTGGATATATACAAATTAGACAAGTAGCCATTATTGCTGTTTCTGACAATGTGACCATGAATCTGTTTACCTCTTTCAACAAGTGCCATGTCTGCACAAGCACCCAAGACACTGACATTAGTTGGAGCACTAGGCCATATCCCTTGCTCCATCATTTGCACAAAAAGATCCAAAGCTTCCTCAAAACGCCCATTTCGTGCAAAACCCTTGATCAAAGCAGTCCAAGACACGGTATTTTTCACCGGCATTTCGTTAAATGTCCTACACGCCTCTTCCAATCTAGAAGCTCGAGTGTAAGAGTCAATCATCGAAGTCCAAGACACAATATCTTTCTCTGGCATTCGACAAAATATGGAACTAGAGATGTTGGGTAAGCCACATTTTCCATAAGCATCGATTAAAGCATTGTTAAGGATTACGTTCACCTCCAGACCAATTATAACTGCCACCCCATGGACTTGACGCAACCAATGAAGGGAAGCTAAAGAGGCACAACTGCCAAATATACTAACGAGGGTAAACTCGTCTAATAGTAAACAATCATAATCCTTCTGCATCTTCCAGAAAATCTTAATTGATTCTTTGTGAAACGCGTGATGTGTCAGACCAGCGATCAATGAATTATAACTAATAAGGTTTGGTTCATGCATTTTATCAAACAGTGAGTGAGCCTTGTTAAACAGACCCATTTTACAGTAGAAAGAGAGCATCATATTCCACGAACGTGTGGTCTTGTGGGAGAGATCGTCGAAGGCCTTTTGGGCACTCTCCACACAGCTGCACTTAGTGTACATGTCTATGAGACGATTGGCGAGGAAAGAATCGAGAAGAAGTGCGGTTTTGATAAGGCAAGAATGCAAGGCCTTGCCAAGTTTCAGATTTCTGATCGTAATGCATTCAGAAATGAGAAATGCGTACTTCTTAACATCATGGAGCATGATCAGAGGAAGTCAAAGATATGGAGGGGCAATCAGGAAGCTTCTGTTAATGAATAATAAAGTGAAGTGAGGTGCAAAACACAAGAACAATTACCTCACTTGAATTGATTCCCTGTTTTTAAGAGACAGAACGATAGTCTCTGCTTTACCCAGCCTCCTTTTACCCTCTGATTTGTCCAACGCTACAGCAATAATGAAAATTCAAAATGGTTTGCATTTAAATTTAATCTTTAGTGTGCCAACTATATATCAACAGTTTGAGAGTTCTACACTTGCAGCTGAATATGATAAAGGACGGCTAAGGTGATTCATGCTTGTGAACATAGCAAATGTGAACGACAACACTTGTGACCAAACCTTTTCTGGGTCAGAGAGCCATCATTTACTAGATTTTTCCACACACGATAGTACAATCATATTGACCAAACCTGAGATTTCACCGATGATGATACTTTATCTTATTGGTTCATGCAAAGAGTAACAAGGTACAAGAGATGCTCAAACAGTGACAAAAATGCTCTGCGTATCATCAAATTACCTATGCGATGCAGTAAATAAAATACATTTTTGCTCATCTGGGTGCAACACGACATCCCATAGAAGTACCAGAGGAAGAAGGAGACCGGTAAGCTCGAGACTTTACTTATAAGCTTGTAACATTTATTTAAAAAAAAAAAAACAATGAAAAAGAAAAGGAACACCGGGACAATAATAAGAGAAAGTTGGAAATATAGGCCCTTCTGGGCTGGCTCAGCCTGGCCTTTTTTTAAGAAGGAAGGGCCTGCTAAGAAAAATAAATGACTTTTTCAGCCGGCCCAATGTTTCAAGTTAAGTTTAGCTTTTTAACTAAGTCTATTCAATTAAATAAGTCAGGTTTATTTTTATAAAACCTAACCTACAAACTAAACAAATCAACTTATTTATATATACATTATTATGTAATAAATTACACATGCATTAGTTTGATCATTTGATTTTTAATTAATTCATTTTTTATTTTCAGTTTTGCTTTCAATTGAATTGGATTTACATATTGATTTTAATGTTATTATTTTATTATTATCAAGGAATCCTCTTAATTATTATATATTATAATTAATAAATTATATTTATATATATTAATGGTCTAAAATGTTCAATATTAATATATAAGTCTATTTAAAATATTTATTTTTAAATAATTTTTTAAATAGGCTTTTAAATTAAGTCATACTTTAACTAAGCTCAAACTCATACATAGTTTAAAAAATTAAACAAGGCTAACCAGTGAATCGACGGACTGGCCATGTGTTTATTGTTTTTTCGGATGGGAAGTTGACTCAGGAAGAAACTAGATAGACCCATTTAACCCCATGGGTCAGGCAGGTTGAACAGGTCAATATTTCTTCCTCCTCGATGTCCCAAATCGAAGTTGCTTTGGGTTTAAAAAATTGAAAAAAAAAATCAAATAACAATGAGATAAATGCCTAAGCCTAAATGATGTGTGTCTGTTCCCTTAGTGCCCATTTATATTTCAATTAGGTATAATTAATTATAAAAATAATTAATGAATATGATTACTTTTAATCATAATTAATTATGTGATAACGTAATATGTTTAAATATTAAAATTGAGTTCAGCAATACAAATTACCATAAAAGACATTGTTTTTCAAAATTAAATTATTAATAAAGTTGTATTTAATATTAATAAATTTATTAAAATTTATTTAAGAAGTAAAATATATTGTTTAATAGTAAAATTGAATCTATAAGCAACCTCTCAGAGTTTATATCAAAACCTGATTCTAACTCAATAATCAATTATTATACAAAATTAAATTATTGATAAATTTATGTATAATACTATTAAATTTGTTAAATTTTATTTAATATCATTATGAATTATTGACAAATTAATAAGGTAAAATGAGGACAAAAGCAACTCTAAATAGTTTTTTTTAAATCAATTTTAGCATGTTTAATCGATTACGGCAATTATATGTTGTTTGGCTAATTTTGTTTTAAAAATCAATTAAACACCAAAAAATCGATTCTGGACGCAAAACAAACAAGCATTTAGGGTTCGTTTAAATTTTAATTGAGTATAATAGATTATAAAAATAATTAATTAAGTGATAGATTTTAATTATAATTGATTATGTTATAACACAATTTATTTGAATACTGTTTTTTTAAAATTAATTTTAATTATATAAATTATTATATAATTTAATTTTTAAATATTAAATATTAATTTTTTAAATATATAAATTTTAAATTTTATTAAAAAAAGAAAGTTTAATTTTATTTTTATTAAATTATGTATTTTTTTTATAATTTTTTTCAGCCTGTTTTTATAATTTTTTTTAACATTTTTGATAAACTTTTATTAAAAAGCTGATCGAAGTTGCTTGCGAGAAAACGTGCATGGGTTCAGAATCGATTTTCATCTTTTTCTTTGACTAATTTACTGAAAAAATTGATTTTGGGAGAAAAAAATCCAAACACACACTTAGTCTTCCGTCTTCCTTCGCTATCCCTCCTCGAATCCAACATCAAGGACGGCACCAATGACCTGGCCGGAGGAGGCGGGGTAGCAGCAGGGGTAACCATGCGAAGAAAGATAACTAGGCATAGTCGAAGAAGAAATTCTGGGCCTAGCGCTGGTAATGGAAGATCGAATCAGAGGAAGTATTCGGAATCTGCCTGAAGCCATCTTGAGAAGGCTTCAGATCTAGAGGGAGAACTATTGGCGCCGTTTAGACATGAGAAGGAATCCTGGAAAGCCTTTTGAGTATATTAGGGTTTTGCTTGAGAAGCGGGGGTGTGGCCGTGTTTTGGGAAGCGAGTGATGTCGTTTAAGGGTTGGGACTCCAATGATCCAATCTCACCTGCGCTTTTGTGGGAAGCTCTCTCAGTCTCAATTGGCATTCTAAAATAAGATTAAAAAAAAAAAAACTTCTAAAATGTTGTGGATTTGAAACAAGGGTACCTTCTCTGGCCCATCATTCATTCCATTTTCATTTACAAATGACGAGATTACAATTATTTTCTTTTTTTTTTCCATTTTGTGCATGAATTAATAAAGACCACCTAGCTGTCAAGAAGAAAGTAAAATAACATTTAAGGGATTGTGTTATTAATATTAAAAGAACATAAAACATTATGAAGTTATTAAGTATGACTAGAAGCCAAATTAAAAATAATGTTAAATATAAAATGAGAAAAATATTTCTTACTTTTATATCTATTATCAAGTCTAGTATTACACAAATATATACTCACTCTGTTCAAAAAATATAAGACATTGTTAATCGAATCTCATTTCTCAATAAAGTTATTATCTAATTTCTAACTAATCGTATCTTTTCATATTTATCTCTATAGATGAATGTATTGAAAATTAATATGTTTTTATTTAAATTATTTTATTTTATTATGACCGATTTCACTCCCGGTTAAACCCCTAACCTCAACTGATTCAACGATCGATTCAATTTTTAATACTTTTTAAAAAGAACCTTATACAGACATAAGCATCTAACCTACACACATGCACAAGTCTACTTGAGCAAAACTTAGTTCAACCTAACTTATTTTCAACCACAACTACTAGTATAAGAATCAAGTTAGAGAATTATCCCTATAAATATTCTTTAAGACTAGAGGCATGCTCTTATCATAGTCAATCCCCAATCATCCAAATCCAACTTACTTCAATTTGTTTATAAAAAAATAAAAATAAGTGCATTAGATTAAGTCATTCAATTAACCCATAGTCAAATTAACGGCCTTCCAAATTAAACATTACTATTTATTAATTACCCTATCCCAAGGACCAAATCCAAGTCAAGTCAACACAACTAACTTCAAAAACAAATTTGACCCAGCTAATCCCGGATATTAAGAAAACCAACTAATCATTCCACGTCACAACATGACAATAATCAATTACCCTCTTCCCCTAAATCTCTTAAGTGCTAACTATATTTAACCCCACAAATCCATCATCCACTTCTTCGTCATAATCTGTCCTCAATCCTCAAAATGATTTTCAACCTATCCAGTTCATATATAAATTAAACTAGACATTTTGCAGCATAAAAAGAGACTAATAATTTGGCATTCATTCATACATATGTGACTTCATTGTCTTAATTAGTCTTAAAGATAATTTTCTCATAGTGAAGAAGGACACCAAATTTGACGTGAAAAAATCAAGCAACTTGGAGCCTCACAATATCATTCACGGAAGAAAAACCTAACTTTGTGTTTCAGAGAAGAACAGAGAGAGGGAGATTGTCTCTCTTTTTTTCTGTGATATTCACGTTGCAGAATCGATCATGACGAGGCTGCAAACCGATCAGGTGGAGCAGCTGAGAGAGATATTCAAGCACTTCGACATGGACGCCGACGGCAGTCTAACCCTCCTTGAACTCGCCGCCCTTCTCCGGTCGCTCGGAATCAAGCCCGGCGGCGACCAGCTTCACACGCTCCTGTCCAACATAGACGAGAACGGCAACGGCTACGTCGAGTTCGACGAGCTGACCAAGGCCATCCTCCCGGACTTGCATGGCGAGGAGATCCTCATGAATCAGGAGCAAATGCTCGAGGTTTTCCGGTCGTTTGACCGCGACGGCAACGGCTACATCACCGCCGCCGAGCTCGCCGGCTCCATGGCCAAGATGGGCCACCCCTTAACGTACCAAGAGCTCGCTGATATGATGAACGAGGCCGACACCAACGGCGACGGCGTCATCAGCTTCAACGAGTTCGCAAACATCATGGCCAGATCCGCCGCAGATTTTCTTGGCCTCAAGGTTATCTAGGAGCTTAATTAATTCTCGTTATACAGGCTAATTAAGGGTTTCATTAACTTTTGTGTATATCTTCTTCTGCCTCCTCTTTTTCCTTATTTTTTTTTTCTATGTTCATTAGGATTAAAGATTGAAAAAGAATATAACTTTTCTGATCAAGTTGATGATCTCTTATTGTAAATTAATGCAACATGTAAATAGATTTGATGCATATTTACTCAATTTATAAGAATGTAGATTTCGGAATCTCTATGGAAAGCAAGAAATGAAAACTGACTTTTCTGCGTAGCTTTTATTTCTTTTTTAATTTCTCAGTTTCTGGAAGAACATGCCTTTGTGTAAAGCAGAAACTTTTGTGTGCATTATTTATATTTATATGAAATTAACATGACAGATTTTGCAGATGCAACCTGATTAAATTTATGTATGTATATGTTGCGTAGACAAGCATTAACGATTTGATTCATGAACGTGGATTAATGCCGCTGATAAACTACATATACATGAACTCATGCTGGTACATTATCAGGTACTAGAGAAGATATGAATCTGACTTCTTCTTCTTGTTTTTCTTTTTTTTTTTTTTTTAATTTCCCCAACTTGGAAGAACCTTTTTTCCCCCCCCTTCTCTGAATTTAACGTGATGCATTATATATTTACTTTAACTAGTTTGCAAATGAGCTTCATGGAAGCAGATTAGGGTTTAATTTGTCTGCTACTACTTCCTCTTTCAATATATATATATATATATATGATCAAACCGACATTATAAAATATTATTTATCATTCAGATTACGCAACTTGTAGATTATATACATAACTCAATTTGGGGTTTGGAATTGACAGAAGAAATGAATCTGACCTGTACGTAACATGCATTATTGAATTACTATTATCATTGTTTATATTATATCAACTTTACATAAATTCATTTTTTGGCCTGTGCGCGCGCGCGCGTTTAAGATGCAGAAAAATGGAAGGAATGATGGAGCAATTTTAAATAATAATGAGACTTGAAATACCTCAGAAACAAGGGAACTCTGTTCTATTTCCTATAAATAGGATAAAAGCAACTCTAACAAATCCTACCCAAAAAAAACAAAAAAGCACTCTTGCTTCTCTATACTCTAATATCTTCTACGATACAAAAAGCTAAAAGAGAAAGCGAACCACTATGCAACCTCATATGGCCAAAGAACAAATATACAGAGAGATTTATTCTTCTTTTGAACTTCACAACCAAATGGTGGTTCCAAGAACCATCTTCAGGGGAAGCAAACATGCTTTTTTTCTGGCCGAGAGGAACCAATTGAACAACTCCAAAAGGATGGGCAAACAAGGTGGAAATTCCAGGCTGATATGAACAAGCTAGCAACAACTTTTTAAGAATCAAACAAGAAACCTCAAATTAGATCATCTATGGTTAGAAGTTCTGTTCTTATTGTGGTTAGCCTTCTTAGCTTCTAAGCGTGCTGTTGGACCAATGGTTACTCGCCCCAGTGACCCCTGTCTCACCATGGCACAAAATTCTGGATCTTTTGCCTTCCCCTCGTACCTTAACCATTGTATCACTTCATGGTACATGGGAAAGAACCTCATCTGAAGTGCTGAGTAGGAGAAGTAAGGTATTAGGGTTGAGATCACCACAAAGAAAGTCACAAGCCAAAACATGGGAGATGGGGCGAGCGTTTCAACGAAGACTTCATAGGCATTCTTGGAAAAACCCGGTGGCATTGCTCCGTATATCATGAGGAAAAGGTACCAGAAAGCAATGGTGCCCCAGATGAAAATATGTTGAATCAAGGTGAAGTAACTTATGGCAAGTGCCATCTGCAAGTTCACGACCCAAACAACGCAGGTATACATGGTTGCTCCGAGTATATCCCTCCCGGCTGTTCTTCCGTCCCTATCAAAGGCCTGAAGCTCCATCGCTTTTGTGCAGAAGAAGAAAATTATGATTGCACTTATGAATCCATTCAGCATCCAGGTAAGTATACGGCGCCAGCTAAAGAGGACATTCTGCACTCCTTGTTGATATAACTGAGGAAACTGCACGGTGAATAGAACTGATAAGCATCCGATCATCATGAAGCAATAACCAGGAATCACATCAGTTGTCAAAGGGCAAAAGATTGAAATCATTCTTCTTCGCGCGGTAGCTGTGTTTTAAGCAATATGCTACAATGTTGTCACAAGTCAACCAAAATTCATGTCAAGTACCGCACTTTGCAATAAATATTGAACATTTAATGTCAACTGAAAGTTGCAGGACATAACGATGATTGTTAAACATGAGATATTGATTCAAGAAAAAGAATGTACCAGTATGACCAAGTCAAGTAACAAGTAAAAGATATGTAGTAATTTTTATAATATGAATTTAAAATCTTTTAGAAAATATTAAGCAACTGGCCAAATCAAATGTGCCCGTACTGTCTCCTTATAGGGAATTTTGTGTGCGGAATTCCTCTGATCTCCAATTAACAAGCATACTGGCTCCTGAGATTCTTCATTACAAAAAACAAGAACGCATATAAGAAGTAGCTTTACCTTAAGACAGTACCGGGCAGAAACATCCTGGTCAAATACGCCAAGAGCAATGACAGGGAGAGATGAGAAGAAAACGTTGTAGAGAGACAAAAACCAGTCATTGTAAGCTGGAATTCCGGAGAATGATGCATACACTTCATACAAGAAGAGAGTGAATCCAAAAGTGACGTTCTTGTAGAAAAAATAGCATATCTGCCAGCAGAAGAATGGCTTAGTCAATATAATCAACAAAGAAGGATCTGTTATCTTTTAAAACTAGAAAGTTGTGATGCAGGTATAAAAACAGCCATACCATTGATGAGATCCTCCGGTAACACCAATGTCCATGCACAAGGAGTAACCGCTCCAAGTACCTGAACTGGGCAATTGCAATATCGCTAGACATAACAGCCTGGCCATGGATTAAAAGAACAGAAGGGGAAGAAGGAGGAAATAAAAGCTATAAGACACCAGAATATGGAAGAACAAATCAATTAGATGAAACATGTAAAATTTTAAAATTACCTGAATTCCTTAAACAGTCAAACATAAACAAAATGAAATGAAACATATCACAATTTTATGATCACCTGCATTCCTTCTACACCGCTAATTCCAACCCCTATATCTGCTTCTTGAAGCATTCCCACATCATTGGCTCCATCACCAATGGCTAGTGTTGTTTTTCCAGTTCCAGATTTAACAAGTCTAGTAACCTTTCAGAAAGGAATCAATCAAAATTATTTCATATAGTTTCAAGAACTATTCAAAAAAGAAAAAAGAACCATAAAATAATAGGCCACAATGTCAAAAGAGGGTGATAATTACAGATTAGACGAAAACATACCAGTGCTTTCTGCTTTGGTGATGACCGACAGCAGATAACTGATGCACAATTAAGTGCAAGCTCCAGAAATATGTTCTTCATGTCATCCTCAAGAGCATATGTAAGTGATTTTCCATCAATGATCAGAGCAAATGCTTGCTGAGAAGTCCCTCTGGAAACAGCAAGTTGTGCAGTAGCTTCAGATATCTGACGTTGGATATTTTCCCTTGATGCCTGACGAATGAATCAGCATAAAGACATCAGGACTCTAATTTTTTTCCCAGCAATTTCTCTCTAAAGCATTAATCAACTCCTTTTCCGTGCCACAAAAAAGAGACAATTTTGAAGTGGGAAAAGAGGAAAGGAAGACAACAGCATAGAATATATTGCAGCATACAGTTGAAGCATGGTCAGCAGCATCTAACTCAAGGAATACAACCATGCATTGTCTTCTTAACTTCCATGCACATTTTGAAACAATATCACAAAAAGGAAGGCTAGGCAAATGGAGTTATTGAAATTCTTATGTCTCTTTGTCAAGTTGTTTTATTGACAAAACCGGAAAGGAAGAATCCATGTGATATAACCTCATTTTTTCTAGCGATGTAACACATGTTCAGCTCCTTGTGATTGAATCTAATTAGGATCTTAACATTCAAGACTCAAGAGAACCACTTTGTTTAGAATGCTCACTGAAAATACAAAATACTCATCATGCAAAGTACATTACTGTAGACATAATTAGATGAAGGGCTAAAATCAATATTACCTTGGCAATAGCAATCTTTTCTCCAGCCTTTTCTAATGCTTTAATATCTGGAGTATCCAGATGAATTATAATTTGCTTCATTCCTTGTCTAAGCAAACTACAAGCATAACTGAAATTGCATGCTTCTGTCAGATATCTGAAAATGTAATTCTCATGGAGAAGCCAACATGAAAAGGTCATAATATCAATTTAATACCCAATATTGATGGCGGTCTCCATTTTATCCCCAGTCAAAACCCAAATCTTGATTCCTGCCTGAGCAAGTTTGTCAATGCAATCAGGAACCTAACAGAATATGAGAAACATCAATAAGCCATAATCAAGTCCATTGATATCCATCAATTTAAAACACAAAACATTACTTTTAACCCACCCCATTTTGGAGTTTGTCCTCTACAGCAGTGGCACCAAGAAGGATTAGATTCTTCTCAATCTTATCTGATACTTCATCAATCAGTGTCTCTCGATCTGCACAAACTGAATTCTTGGCCAGAGAAAATTTTTCATCAAAGTCCCTGTATGTTTCTTCATCAAGTTCACGATAAGCCAATATCAAGGTCCTTAGACCTGCATCAGCATACTCTTGCACGTGTTCAAGGGTTTTCTCTTCAAACGCCCGCCCATTCTTGGCAGCCCTTTCAAACATGACACTTCATGGAAGTATAGAGCAGGTCAACATGGTGAAAAGTAAAGGTAAGGACTTTAAATAAAAATCCTCAAAAGCTGGAGGCCATTTATCACAAACCTGTCAGCACCTTTACAGAATAGAAAAATTTTGCCACCTTCATCTTTCACTATCACTGACATTCGCTTCCTAGAGCTATTGAATTCTAAAACATTGAGAAGCTCATACATCCTGCAAAATTGAAACGTTATCACTATGCATTAGTTGACACGGAGACATTAAATCCCCACATACAGTATCTGAAATTAATAATCTAATCGGGAGCATAGCATTTCTGAAGTCACTAGTTAAGCATTATTAGCCATGAAGGAAGCAGGTCCTCAATCCCAAACAAGAAAACAAGACAATTAAAAAAAAAAAAACAAGCAGCAGCTGTAGCAAAGAATAGGTGACATCACAACACCTTCTAGATATTACAAAACAACATCAAACCATCAAGTAAACTTCAAGATAAGACACTGGGATTCACTGGTGTTAGT